GGGTCTAGGTTTTTAGGGGTTTAGGGTCTACGGGTTTTGGGATTAGGGCTTGGCAGGGTAGCTCTAGCCTTACCCGAGGTGCACCTGTTGAGTCAGCACGATCGCTAGCTCATCCAGCTTCTCCGTCAAGGCCTGTCTGCAGCTCCAGCCGTCTCACTGCTGTTGATGCTCAGTTTCCTAGCAGTATCGCCGAGTGTTGGTAGGATCGTATTCTGAGTAGGACTGTAATCGCCATCAGCGTCCTTTTCACTGTGCCTGAAGTCTGACATCAGATCAGAGCATATTCGGATCAACGAAGCTAAACTCGCGCGTCCTTTCACCAGGAGATCAAGCAACATCGATTGAAGTCACAGCGGCAGACTTTACATGGGTAGTTCTCTAAATTGGGGCCCCCTCTTTAGGTCTCCAATATAGTACGGCACCCTTATAAACAGGACCCTAAAAAGGACCCTAATTTAGAGAACTACCCACATCTTAACTAAACCCTAAACCCTAAACCCTAAACCCTAAACCCTAAACCCTAAACCCTAAACCCCTAAACCCTAAACCCTAAACCCTAAAGCCTAAGCCAAGCAACCCCGAGCCTGCAAAGGTGCGCGTTGCAGCGACTTGCCATTACTCAGAGCCAGCTGCAACTGGGAGTCGTAGACATCCGCAAGGTCCTGTGTTTCAGGGGTATTCCAAGAAACTCTAAACCAAGAACCCTATGCCTCTACACTACAAACCTACTCTTTTGATAAGGGCTATATAACTATTGAAACACAATTTTTTAAAACTTGTTTAATCCCTAAGCCCTCAATCCTAAAACCCTTTAGGTTTTAGGGTCTTGTTGTTCAGGGGTTTCCGGGTTTGGGGCTCAAGCTCTACCTTTGAAGGACGCGACAGTTATGAGTGTTGTGCTTGTGGTTTTAGTGCTCAGCGCCTGAGGCTTTACGTCTTAGGCCCTGGTTTAGTGCAGGGCTTTTCCGGGTTCGGGATCCTAGGCCGTAACCCTAAAACCTCAAAACCGTGAACATTCCCTAAACCCTTAACCCCTAAACCCTAAACCCTAAACCTCCAAACCCAAAACCCTAAACCCCCAAACCCCTAAACCCTAAACCCTAAGGGTAGGGCTTGGAGCTAAGGGCTAAGGCTTCAGAAATCATGGCTCAGGGTGTTACGGTTTCGGGATCGATGGCTTGAGGCTTGACATTCAGGGTTGAAGTTTTTGGGGTGCTAACAGCCTATCAGCAACAAACCCAAAAGTCGTGACTTGAGGTGCATGATTTGAGACTACCGACGTAGGGTTTGGGCTGTAGGGATGTAGGGTACTAAGGTGCAAGCGTGCAGGATGTAGGTTTAGGGCTTCAGGGTTTTGCGGAATAGGTCCTCCAACTCAGAGGCTTTGTCCACGAGCTCCTCGCTCCAGGGGTGTGAAGTTCAACCCCTAAACTATACGTCCTAAATCCTAAACCCTCAACCCAAAAGCCTAAAACCTAAACATCCCTCAATCCTAAACTTTCAACCCTTAAGTCCTAAACCCAAATCCTAAACCGCCTACGTCCCATACCTCTCCAGCAACACCGAAGGCCCAAGAAGAGCTCCTTTGCATTCAGACCTACAGCTTCGGCCCATTGCGGATCTGCGCCAGCCTCCTCTCACACCATGGGCTCATAATGTAGGGGACTTAATGAGTCGAATAGGGTTTTGGGGTTCCTTAAAAGGTCTCCTGAAAAGGGATACTTTTAAGGGCTGCTATAAGGGTTTAGGGGCCTAATAATTAGAATAGGGTTTTGGGGTATATTCTACCATAATTAAAGGTCCCAAATAGTATAGGTAATTAGGAAGGCCCCTATACTAGCCGTTGGGGAGTTTAGGGTTTCAGGGTGCTTGGGTTTTCGGGTTTGGAGCTTGGGTTTAGGGTTTAGAAGTCTGGCGTTCTGCATTTTGGGATTAAGTGTAACTTGATTCAGAGGCCCTATAATGCGTCACCATTCTAAGTCTACTTTCTCGTGCAGGTCATGCTTCACCATTCTATATAAGTCTATATTCTTTTTCAGGTCGTATAGGGCTTGGGAACCAGAAACCAAACCTACAATAAAATCTCCAAGAAAATCCCAAGAAAAGAAAACTCTACACCTTCAGAACAGTACTAGATTGAAAGAATCCGAAAGTCAAAGGTGGGCTAATGCAGTATCACTAAACTACCAAAGCCCTCAAACCTTACACCCCTAAACCCTAAATCCCTAACGCCTAAACCCTAAAGCCTACATTGCGGAAGCCTCGCAGGGACCGGAAGGCGTCCTGAAACAACCAGAACGCCCAATCGAAGCTCAATCCCTGCCTTTCAACCCTTACACCCAAACCCACAATCATACATAATTTCACAATCCCCCCCAACGCCTAAACAC